CCCGAGCCCCTCGCCTCGCCTCGATCTCGGGTGGTGCTGATGAGTTGATCCGTGTCGATCCGCAGGCGTCGGCGCCTGAGATGAGCGGCAGCGCGGCGAAGCGCGTCGGGACGCCGCTGGCCGACGCCGAGGGCAGCCCCAAGCGCCCGCGGAGCAGCCGCCACCCCTCGCTCTCCCCCTCGCCGTCGCAGGCGCGCTCGCAGGCGCCCTCGCCCTCGCAGTCGCGCTCGCGGTCGCGGTCGAGGTCGCGGCTTCCCCTGGCGCGGACGTCGCCGCCGCCGTACATAGGGTCGCCCTCCTACGCCCCATACGACGACCGAAGCCCCAGCCGCAGCCGCAGCCGCAGTTACAGCCGCAGCCGTAGCCGCAGCCGCGTGTCGGAGGAGACGGACGGGAACGGGCGGCCGGTCTGGAGGCCGCACTCGTACAGGGAGCACAGCGGCGAGCACGGGGACGGCGAGTACAGCGTCCGCATCGGCGACTACGACCGCCTCTTCATCTGCCGGAGCTGCCACCGCATGCTCTCCTCGCCGGTCTACGAGGTGATACTGATACCCATTTCCATTCCAACCTACAACACGTTTCGTCATCTGTCGATCAGCTGATTCAGCTCGCCGTGTCTCTGATAACTCGTCATGATGTGATGGCATCCGTGCAGTGTCCGGACGGGCATGTCACCTGCTCGAGGTGCCGCGACAACATCGGGGAGAACCGCTGCAACTACTGCGCGGCCAATGGCATCGTGCGCAGCCGCGCCGTCGAGGAGTTCCTCGGCCGCATCAGCTTCTCCTGCCGCAACCAGCAGTACGGCTGCGAGGTGTTCCTGCTGCACCATGAGATGCGCGCGCACGAGCGCACCTGCCACTACGACCCCTGCTTCTGCCCGGTCCATCGCTGCGGGTTCGCCGGCCCGGCCTATGATCTGGAGTCCCACCTCGCCACCATCCACCGCTGGGAGGTGATCAACTTCCGCTACGGCGAGAGCTTCCAGGCCCCTGCCTTTGACTCTGCCATCTTCCGCTGCGAGGACTACGGCGAGCTCTTCCACATCAGCAGCTCCCGCGAGGGCTTGGGCACCGCGCTCTCCATGATCTGCATCCGCCCTGACAACGCATTCGAGGAGGAGTTCACCTACGAGCTCAAGATGCCGGCAGGTGGACGGCGCCACAGGCTGCAGATTCAGTCGACCGTGTGGAACACTTCGCTGCGGTATGGGATCGGTGAGGGGAGCGATGTCTTCCTGCTGGTCCCTGACAAGCTGCCCGGCGTCGAGAATGGCTGTGCCGTGGAGGTGTGCATCCGCAAGGTGGTGGCTGGTAACTAGCTCAAGCTGTGCGCCGATCTGGACCGTCATTGTCGTTCTGGTTGCAGCATTACCTATCTGGTTCTAGGATAGGGTTAATGCCTGCCTGCTAGAGTTCTGTTCATAGCCGGTAAACTTGAACGGCATCCGTGTTGGTGAATTCGTTAGTTGTTGATGGATCTTCAGGTAAGTGAGATGGAAGCATCGGCACCCCTTGCAGTCTGATGCAGGAAACTGTCTGGATATTGTCTTTTCTGAGGAGAGTGAATTGGGATATGCCGAATTTGCTGGTAAGCTTTTTGTTTTGGTGCATTTCTGGACGTGGCGATCTTGATGTTGAAATGCGTGAACGCTTTGGGTGATTTGCCTCTAGATGTTTATTATAGATGTTGCTGTCTACGGGTCGTGAGTTCATTAGTTTATTCTGCTAGTAGTTTTCAGATGGTGCCTGCTGGAGCTTATTCTTCTAGTAGCTGCTGAATGCCGAGGTAACCTGAATATCATATCTGGTGACTGCTTCGGCATTTCGTGGATTTGCACCGTCAACATCATGATAGTTTTGATTGCATTGTTCCATCTAAAGAGCTTCTAGGATATACTATCTGCATGCTGTTTGTTAGTTTTTCTCCTCCCATGGAACTCACTGCACATAGGTGACTTGTAGTATTGGCAACTTTGTTAGTTTTGTATGGATCTCACGGCAGGTGAGATGGAAGCATGGGTAGCTTGCACATTGCTGATGCGGGAAATTGTTGTCTTTTTTGTGAGGCTAAACTGGGATATGCTGAATTTTGTTGGTAAGCTTTTGTTTTTGGAGCTTATCTGGATGTGACGATCTTGATGTTGAAAAGCGTAACCGCCGTTTCTTTCGGTGGATCGCCTAGATGTTTATCCAAGATGTTGTCTACAATTTGCAAGTTCAGAGTTTATTCCTTCAGTAGTTTTCGCTTGGTATCTGCTAGTAGCTGCCGAATGCTGAGGTAAACTGAATAGTGAATACCATATATGGTGACTGCTATGGTATTTCGTGGATTCTCCGATGACGGATTTGCGCCGTCGTTGTCATTTTGATTGCATTGTTTCCATCTGAAGAGGTTCTAGGATTACCATCTGGAAGGTTGTCTGTTAGTTTTTTTCTGCTCCGATGAAGCTCGATTGCAATGCACATTCCTGACTGTTATATCCTTTTTGCCCCAAAGCTCAGGGAGCAGTACAATTTTCTACATGGCGCTGAGAAAATTAGTAGGTGTCTTAGCTGTTTCATGTTACACTAGTATGTACAAGCTCATTATTTCGAACTTGCGGCTGAATGAAATCTCTCTTTGAGGTGATGAAGAACTCCTGGTCAGTGAGCAGAGTCTTTCAATCTACGGCCCGTAAGAGCATCTGCAGCCGGACTTAGAAAATTCAGCGCCTTAAACATCCAAAGACATGTTTGGGCGTGTTCGTTTTGAGTCTCCATTTATCTGTCCATTCACCATACTCCTCATCTCCTCCTCCACTTGCATATGATTGATGTAGATGAGGAGAAAATAAGAATAAAAAAGGAAGGGTGGTCTGGGTGGGCCGTCCTACGTGGCGCACTGGCAGGGCGCATCTGGGAGCCTTCATATACTCCCTACATTTCATCTCAATACAAGGGACACAGCCTATATAATCGTATAGAATAGAGATGATACGAGAGGTTCGAGAAGTATTACAAGGAGGTCGGATGTAGATGCTCTAAGGGCATCTTCAACGG